CTTTTGCAATTAGTTAAAATATTGAGTTATACATATTCTAACAAATAAATTAAGGTAATCACTTCAGCTTTTGAAAGTCATATTAATTACAATTATACAATTCATTTATACAAATAAATATATTTAGCACACAAAATGAGATGGCAGAGAAACTCTCTTATTCACCATTTAATTAGCTATATGAGAAAGTAGCTGAATGACACATCATTCTGCCTAACATCTCTTTTTGTAAGTCATATGGATAAGAAACAAAATAAAGGTTAAGTGATAAGACGTTTTATTTTTGGATAAACTATTTTCAAGACGCTCCTGTTCAAGACGAGACGGCAGAAAGCATTCTTTATTCTATAAAAGCACAACGTTTTGTTGATATTGTGAGTGCACACAAATAAAAGTAGACCCTTTACAGTTACAAATGATGTATTATTCTTACCTTTATGAGTAAAAATGACGGCGTATTCACTGAAAAAATTGCAAGTGATCGCACTGGTGTCCCCATGTCCTGCAAAGCGCGCTTTAGTTTCCACTCTCTCCGCACAAACTATTGGATATAGCTATTGGATTTTTCTAGGTTTAACGTTTAAACATTGTTATATTCTTGAACTGTTTTATATCTATATATTTTATTTTAGGCAAGTCGTGATGATTTGAGAAGGCTAAAGTGATCAAACATAGGCTCACTGTCTGCCGCTGGCCGCTTGGTCATTACTTTAAAAAACAAAAACTTATATTTAACGAACAAAAAATGCTCCATACGTTTTTCTAAATTAACTTAAAAAAAACCCCGAAATGAAATATAATAACTTTGTCATTACATACAACACTGAACTATTTTAATAGCTGAAACAGTAGTATAAGCTGTTTTGAGAGAAGGGGGAAAAAGACGGGCTCGGGCCGGTAATTCTGATAAGCTGTCGGACACGGGCCGGGCCAGGGCCTGAGCGTCTCGGGGCAGGGCCGGGCTAGGGCCTATATTTGAGGCCCGTGCAGGGCTTTAATGAATGGTAAATGAGTTGAGCGCTGAGCAGAGCACACACACGCATAGAGCGGGATAATACACAGAGCATCACACCACGTGAAAGTGAAACCTGAGCGGTGAACTATTTTTCGGAAGCCGGAATTTCAGTGTATCTCTAATTATTGGCGACATCAAAAATGGGCATTATATAATAGATGCTTTTTTGAACATTTTAGCAATTTAAAAATATTTTAAAAATATTTTTTACACGGCACAGGAAACACTGCATTAGGTCATATGAGATCAAACGACTACCCGACAACAAAAATATTTGTCAACAATTTTTTTATTGTCGACTAATCGTTTCAGCCCTATTTGGAAAAATACATATCGCCAGAATTTGCGCAAGCCAGCAAATGAAAGGATTCAAAAATAACAAAATTTGGACAATGTTTTCAAAAGTTATGTTTTTGCAAAAAAACCTTTTATCTCTGGAACAGTAGGTGGCTCTGTATTCAAACATCTCAGGTACCTCCAGGACGTGTTGTCAGTGATCCTTACCAATTTTTTGTGCATTTGTGCTATCTCCTGACCGGTAGGTGGCGCTATTCCCAACTTTGGCATGTACTCTCAGATCATGGAGCTGATGAATCATATCAAGTTTCGTTTTGAAGGATCAAAGTTTGGATGATATACAGCCTCTGAACCAATTTTCGGTCAACAATATTAAGTTCGTGGCATCATAACTGTAACGGTGGTGGGCCCCCAGAAAAAATGTACAGTCAATATTTCGATCAATTGTTTTTTAATTCAAGTTTTTTGGGCACTAGACAGGTATAGGCCAGCCAAAAAAAAAAAAAAAAAACCCAGGATAGCTTAAAATAACCACCCGTTACATTCAACAAACTCAATTTTCAGAGTCTTTTTTCTCTTTTTTTTTTCAATCAAAAACTTTTAATTAACACAAATGGGTTTACTCAACACAACACCCAAAAAAACAGTCAAAACTAGTTTGATCAGCACCAAACAATAAAAAATAAAAAAACAGCCACAATCAAATAAAACAAATAAATTTTTTTTACAAATGATCAGATAAAAAAAAAACAGAATCATAGAACAATTTCAGACTCCACTACTTATTTTCTCTGTGTTCTTGGTATATATTTTTTTAACCCATAAGATACGTCAGGTACGTGCAGATACGTCACAGTTCATTGTAACAGGGCTTTCAACAGTAGATTCACATGTCCATTTTAAATCCCAATTTGTCCATGTAAGAAAAAATCAATGAATAAGTAGTTTGTAGGAGTAAGGGGAATAAACAAATCAACAAAACAATATATATGTATATAATCAGGCTCGATAAACTAGAAAAACTAAATTAAATGAACACATCTGTAGTGCGTGTTTGAATAGCACGTGCATGTGTATGTGCACTGTAAAAAATAAGTGTAATTTTAACTGTAAAATTTTGTAAAAACGCTACGGAAAAAAACTATTAATAGGTTAACAGTAAGTTCCCGTACTATATACAGGGAAAAACTGTAAAATATCTAACCAGATATTTCATGTAATTTTACAGTCAAATACTGTTAATTTTACAGTTTTTAGACGTAAAAATAACAAATCAATGTATAATTTACAGTCAAAAACTGTAAACTGATATTCCCAGAATTCCCTGCATGACACTCCACATTTGAAAGTATTTTGTTTAAATAATCATGTTTTTTTAATAGTTTTTGTTATTAGTTATGTATATTTGGGCTTTATGTTACATCTTCTGTTGTTTAATGAAAGTTTAATGCATTATTTAAGTATCATGTGTGTTACCATGATGGTGTTTTGTGTTTGCATGAATGACTCTGTGTGCACCTTCTATATATTAGTATATACTTCTGCTTGTGGCGAAGCTACTTGTGATGAGCTTTGATTCTTCATGTGGCTTTCTCTTTTACCACCTGCATTATTATGGTGGTTGTCAGTATGTTAAAGGTACAAAACAGATTTTAATAGCAGTGTGCATTGTTGAATTTACTGGTTTACATTCAAATTTTCTTGTTTGTAAATTACAGTTTTATACTGTAAAATTTGCCGTTTACAGTTTTTCTGTATTTTTTACAAAATTATTCTGGCAACCACAGCTGCCAAAATTATTTTGTAAAAACTACAGAATTTTTTTACAGTGTGCGTGTGGGACTTAGTGTGCGTGTGCTAGATTGTTTGTGTGAGAGAATGGCTTTTTGCTCACTGACCCAAGTGTAGCAGATCACAAGGTTTATGAAGAGTGTCTAGGGACCACAGTGGACTCAACGATGATCCTTTTTTCGACCGGCTTTCCTATTTGGATGGCTGAATGAAGCTCATATGTGAAGGTACTTTGCGCCCGTTCACAAACTTAATGTAAACAGCTGGTCTGGAAGCGTCAGGCCGACAGGAACACGAGCCACACTCCACACGGTAACTCCAACTCAACTTCTCTCCCACAACTCTCACGAGAACTGTGTTCACTTGTGACGTCTCTTCTCCCAGGTGTGTGAGCCTCGCCCTTATATTTGCTTCTTCCATTAATTGATATGCACGCCTACGTCATTGAGTTGTGAAATGAAAGTGAAAGTAAACGGACAGGACAAGTTTTGAACAAAGATGAATATCAAAATCTGTTCAATCTTTTCTGTGTGGCTTATTCCGTAGACCATTTTCGCCAATTTTCTGAAGAATTGGACACACTTTGAAGGTGGTAGCGGAAAAAACCCAAAACTGTACTTTTCAAAACGGCCGCTACTGTAATGGACAGAGTCCTAATGTAAGCTATTGAATGTGTTCAACATGAAGAGAGTAATCAGATGAACTAAATTTCTTTCAAAAGTTATAACCGTTTGAAAAGTACATTTTTGAAAGTTGGTCAGATCACTGTTCATGACCATCTCTACAAGTGTGCCAAATTTCTTCATTCTTTTCCTATGTTCCATTCATAGGGCTGCCATAGACTCCCATTGGGGAGAAGAAGAATAAAGAAAATGTAAAAACGGAAGAATAGGGGCTACAGTACCCTTCTGGACTTGACCCCTAAAAATCCCTCAGACTTACAAGTGTACAGCCAAACCTAGTGGAAAAAAGATATGACAAAAAAGTTTATAACTGTTGGTGAATTCGTCCATTGGCCATCTTGCTTCCTTCTATTCCTCAGATCCTTTCTCACGGCTGGTCATTTACTCTGTTTGCCATTTGATGTCAAACACCTACTTTTTAAACTCCTCCTTGACTTATTCAAACCACTCATGATGTTAAACCAAACCACTCATGATGTTGCATTCATGATGTTAAACCAATCTGTTCTCCTACAATGCTTCGAAGGTGCCAAAGTGGACGTGAGGCTTTATCTGCGTAACACTTTTACATATCGAGTATATGTCACAGTCATCAGGTCTTGAACAGTGTTGGGCAGTAACGCGTTACTGTAATTTGATTCCTTTTTTAGTAACGGAGTAATTTAACGCGTTATAATTTTCAAAATAGTAACTAGAGTATAGTTACAAGCCGAGGTTTCTACGTTACTGCCACGTTACATTGCTGACAGAATGCAGTGATTTATAATCTAGAGATTGTAAAGAATGTGTATTGTTACGTTCCGTGTTTATTTATATAATAGTGTTGGTTGTTATGTGCTGCTGTGTGCTTTTTCTCTGTCTCTGTGTTACTGCTGCTCAACCAGGTGCGGTGGAGAGTGAAGTGATCACTCGCACCTGCCGCTCGTTACTGTGCAGAGGCTGCAAGCTCAAAAGCTCTTCAACATGCCGACCACAGTGAAGCTCGACTTCCAGAGTGCTGTACTGTGATGATCTGGGCTGCTTTGCAGCTTCAGGGCCTGGACAACTTGACATAATTGACGGAACCATGAATTCTGCTCTCTATCAAAAAATCCTGAAGGAGAATATCCGGCCGTCAGTTTGTGACCTCAAGCTCAAGTGCACTTGGGTTCTGCAGCAGGACAATGATCCAAAACACACCAGCAAGTCCACCTTTGAATGGCTCAAGATGCCCTGTGTTGCTCTTATAGTTGTCAGAGATTGATACTGTGTAAAACTTACTCAAGTTACGGCTTATTGTAGCCTTCCTAAGAAGTAATTGGCGTTGTTGTTGCGCTACGTGTTTTCTCCGTGTTGGAAGCCGTAGGGAGGTGGGTGCCATTTTGTTTCTGTTAATCTTTTTCTCTTGTTTTTGCTTAGTTAGGGAGTTAGGGTACTTTTCTGTTGTTAATTTTCTTTTGTTTTGTCAGTTCAGACAGTTTTACTCCTTAACTAGTTAGAGGGTCCTTTTGTTTGTTGTTTTGGCCTTTCCCCCTCCTGAAGCCTATTTTGCTTCCTATTATACTTTGTCCTTTGGAAATCTTGTAAATAAAATACTTGATTTTTGGAACTTAACTAGTCTTGTGCTGGGCAGGGGACTGGTACTCACTCACCCCAACCAAATTTATATTTAGTTTTCCCTGTTACCCCCTTACCCTAGACCCTTACATCTGGGACGTAACAGTATGCTGGGATTGCATACATTTCATGGAGAAAAAAGTAACATAACTAGTAATGTTACTAATTACTTTTGAAATAAAGTAATCAGAACAGTAACGCGATTACTTTTAAAAGGAGTAATCAGTAATTTGATTACATTTTCAGAGTAGCTTGCCCAACACTGGTCTTGAAGCTACCTGAGCAGTTTTGTTTTTTACTGAAAAATTGCTAATTTTGATTATGTCCCTATATTTTGGCATAAAATAGGATTGTATTCTGTTTGCCCCAAGGGATCCAAGAGACCGATGATATAAAATGTACCCAGATCGACAATTTTGGCATTGGCCATTTATAATTTTGTTTTAAAAAGCAATGTTTTAGACATTTTTCTTTCTGCCATTTTCACTCACATCAAAAACCTACCCGACATGACGTGACGCGCAATAAAATGTATCTTTTCCATGTTAATCAGAGTTTTTGTCCTAACAAGCGCGACACATGACAGGGGATTCTATTTTAGAAACCGTTTCTTTTTCTGTGACATCGCGGCTGGAACAACACCATGCAAACTATGACAACGATAATCTCAGGTACTGATTATGTGCTTCATTCAGTGTTAAAAGTGTCTAATGTGAGTTTGAATATCATTTTGCATGACCTTTATAGCCATACTGAAAGCAACAATAGTTTACATCAGATCTTGAAAATAAATTAAAGTAAACTCTGAACTCAATGCGAACCAACAGGTGTGTTCATTAAGATGGTATCAACCACTCAGTGCTTTTATTAATGTTAAAAAGGTTTAATATATATGAATTACATTAACTTGTCCATTTTCTTGGGTTGCAGTGCACTTACACAGACAGCCCGCCCACACACGCTTCTGATTGGCTGTGATTTTTGATTGATTCTGTCACATCTCATAGCAGTCTTGGGTCTGGTGTGGACAGACAAATTCACCAGATTTCACACAGATCATCATTGAAGCATGCTGGCATAAAGTTACAAAAACGTTCTTATGTCTCAAACCATGATCATATAATAAAAAGCTGACATGAAGGCGCACTATAGTGTTTTCTGCAATATCTTGACAAGACCTATTGCATGTCAAATAATGACCATGCTTCATGATTGCTTATGCTTGCTTAGCTCTTCACTTTGCCTCTGTTGTGCATTTAATTATGCCCTGGCAACCACCCAATACATCCCTGTACCCCAATAGCAATGCACTAAGAACAACACAACACCATAGCAACCACATAGCAATGTACTGACAGCCACCCACAACACTCTAGCATTGTGGAAGCGACATTAGCATGAAAAAGCACCGCTCACGTTTTTATCTGGGAGTGTAATAATCTAGTTGTTAGTAGCATTTAATAAACATTATCATGTCACGTGAATGAAATTATAAATTGCCAATAAGAAATCAAGACAAGAATTGGCTTTGCAGCAAACTCTTTGCACTGTGTGTGTTTGTGTGATAGTTGCTGAATGTGTCGTGTGCTTGAATTGTAGGCACACACTCAACGAATCGACTCTGTGGGATTGTGTTGCTCCTCTCTATCCATTCTCTCCATGAACTGTCTATTTTTAGGCCTGGCCTCTTTTTTTGTTTGTTTCTCATTCCATTCCCTCTCTTGCACCAAATTCCATTTTCTTTCCTTTTCTTTCTCTCTTCACATATTATTCTTTCTTTCTAGGTCAAACCTGGTCATGTTATTGATATTTTGTTCAGTGCCATTATCTCTCAATCCCACATCCACAATCAGAACAATATATCGATCAGGCTGATTAATCTGCAATTCCAGATTTTTGTCATCAGGTGCTTAAGCAGTGCCTGATTAATAGAAATGTGTCCGTTCCAAAATCTACCATCACTTTGTCAATGGATAGTGTACATTTACCACTGCTTTAGACACGTCCCACAGGTTTGACTTAATTGACAACAAACACAGTGTGACCATCCGTGACGTCTAAACAGTGTTGTGGGTAACGCATTACAAGTAACGCGCGTTACATAATCAGATTACTTTTTTTCAAGTAACTAGTAAAGTAACACATTACTTTTTAATTTACAAGAGAATATTTGAGTTACTTTTTCAAATAAGTAACGCAAGTTACTTTTTTTTTCCAATTTATTGATTGACTGCTCTCCTGTCCCCATGTTGAGAAATCAGAAGATGTTACTGTAGTTCTAAAATAAATATGAATATGCATTAATTCATCTCACTCACAAAATAAAAACACAGATTCAGTATTCCTCAAAATGAATACAAATAATGCAACTCAGAATATGACGCAAACCTGCAATAATTAAATGTTAAACAACACAAATATCCTTTATGTATTTAATCCCATTCTATTAACCAATGTCTTTGCTTCTGACATTCGATGATCCAGTTCAACCGTACTAATAAGCACATTACTCTAGACAAACATTTGTCTGTCTTTTTTTATTGCTGAAGTGTGTTGAAATTTCTTCTTTTGCATTCTACTGTACGGATGTAAATTTACTTTCCCTTCAGCCTGAGGCTTATTCATTTCACTTTTGGTGTGAAAAGGCTTTTATATTTGCCAAAAATATAACTTTTTTATTTTAAAGCCCTTTGAATTTACAAAGTAACGCAAAAGTAACGTGTAACATTACTTTCCATAAAAAGTAACTAAGTAAAGTAATTAGTTAAATTTATGGAGTAACACAATATTGTAATGCATTACTTTTAAAAATAACTTTCCCCAACACTGCGTCTAAAAGACACAAGCGTGAATGAGATTCTCCACTGCAACAGAAGCAACTGTCTGTTAACAACTTAATTTTTGGTCTGTTCCTCATACAAAAGTGTGATATGGCTTCAGAAGACTTTGCATAAACTACTTTATTGTAGTGTTGGAAGGTGTTTGTCCTCGGCAGTGTGGCAGTATCCTGTATATAATTTGCCTTGGACATTCCTTTTGTGTTCCACTGTAGAAAAAAAACAATCATGCTAGTTTGAAATAACATGATAATACGTAAATTATGACTAGAGATTTCTTGGTCAACTAGTCCTGCAGAGTAAACCTTTGAATCTCTGTGTCTTTCAGCAGTTGGAAAGGAAGGACAGTCAGGGCAGCTCTCAGCACAGCATATGCAGTCACCGCAGCACACACACCGACTCGCCCGGCCGCCCGCAGCCCATCGTGCCCACTGACACCCTGGGGGGCCCTCGAACCGTGCCGCCTCCTCCCACCCAGCCGCTGCCCGTCCTGCCCCCCTTTGACACCTCTGCAGCCAATGGGACGCTCCAGAAGAAACCGGACCCCTTCAAGATCTGGGCGCAGTCCAGGAGCATGTACGAGAGCCGGGGTGAGTAGCCCGCTTCATTCCCACTCGTCTTACTGCTGAGTGTGCGGCACTGTTTGAAAATTCTGAATGAAAATTCTGTCGTCATTTACTCACCCTCCTATTGTTCCAAACCTGTACGAGTTTCTTTCTTCTGTAGAACACAAAAAATGATATTTTGAAAAGTGTTGGTATCTGAACAGTTTATGGGCACTGTTGAATTCCATAGTATTTTTTTTCCTAATATGAAAGTCTATGGTGCCCATGAACTGTTCGGATACCAACATTCTTCAAAATATCATCTTTTGTGTTCAACAGAAGAAAGAAACTCATACAGGTTTGGAACAAGTGGAGGGTGAGTAAATGATGACAGAATTTTCATTCTGACTACTTCTTTAAGATCCAGGTTTCTTCGCCAGTATCATTTATCATTAACCATATTCATCATTTTGATTCACATTAGAGTCTCACAAGAAATTCTATTACACAGAAATAACAGTTTGTATTAGAGCCGTCACGATACAATATGTGTCATGGTGCAATACCAGCTAAAGTATTGTTATACCACTCATATTGTTTAAATGAGTCTATTAATTATTTCATTAACACACATTATTATGCAAAATTAATATTCCTTAACATTCTTCACTTCACACAGCACTGCAATGAATTTATGTTCAGAGAAAACTGAAGATTTGCACCACCAAAACTTTAATTTGAATCAAAGTTATGCCAAAATAACAATATAACCTATTTTAACAATTAAAATGTATTTATTTAGCAGACACTTTTATCCAAAGCAACCTGGAACATCGCAAGCAATTTGTCAATTATTATTTATTTCAGGTTTGTTTGACAGGGACAATGCACGTCAATGATACATAAATGTACAATGTACCAGAATTAGCCAGAAGGCTATTTCGCATCTGCAGTCCCTGGATTGATGGTAAAATTGTCACCCTAAAAATATAAAATAAATAATCTATACATAATACATACATGCTCCAAACTACATATAAATGTATGCTATACCTAATACATATAGTTCTATCCCAAAAAAATGTCACCAGCTCACTCAAACACACAATCCGACTGTCAGACAATATGACAAGCAGTGTATCAATAATATCAATATACAGGCAAGGATAATGTAAGCATACAGACAAGTAACAGTAGTTTAACCGTAATCATTCAGTCAGTACTAAACCAAACAACCTCATATACATAACATAAAAAACTGCTAAAAGCAGAAAAGACAAGATGGCAAGTAAAATTAATGTTGACTCTCTATTAACCACTTCTTTAAGTGAAACTTAAAAGAGGCATAAGTATTAAAATTTGTAATGTAAGTTGGGATGGAGTTGCACTCACGAGCAGCCCTAACTGAATAAGCCGTTTGACTGAATGCACTTTTTCTTAATGGGTCTATGCTAGCGTCTCTTGCTGCACTTCTTGTTAATCTGTAACCAGTTGCTGCTATGTTTACAAACTGGCTCAATACAGGAGGAACCAGTCCATGTTTGATTTTATACACAAGACAAAGATCTGTATACTGTATATATAATCAAATTTTCCCAACTAAAAAGATTGTAATTTTTTAAATATGGCAGTGATGACGGTGTATGGATTTCCTATCTAAAACTCTCTAAGTTTGTTTATATAAAGATAGTATTGGTTTGAGAGAACTGTTACTTGCTTGTGACCAGGTTGTCAAACAATAGGTGATATATGAAAAGATCATTGAATGCATAAACATCTTCGCAAAATTATAATAGTAAACACTCAATGTTCAGTTAAAGGCAGTTTATCATTGAATTCAGTGATGTCATCATCCAGCTCAGTTCAGTTAAAATAGTCTCTGTGCAAAATAAGCAAGATTTTTAAATCTATACAATGTTTAATAGGGAGCCAATGCACATAACAAATGTTTGATTGTTATCAATGTATACACCCAGATATTTAAAATCTGAGACAACTTGTAGTCTCTCCCCCTCTACAACTACATCTGGCTCTGTTGGCAACTTTTAGATTTACTGAAAAACATACATACAGTTTTCAATACATTTAGTTGTAGGCAATTATGTTTTAGCCATTCTGTGATCTTTAGTATTAAGTTTGTTAGTTGATCAGCAGCTTGAACTGCTACTACTGTATCATCAGCATACATCTGGATGTTGGAATTGAGACAAACATTTGGCAAATCATTTACATAAAGAGAAAATAAAAGTTGGCCCAAGATCAAACCCTGTGGGACACCTGCTGACAAGCAAATAACACCTGATTGATGATTCTTTACTCTAACCAACTGAGTCCGATGTGTTAAATATGATTCTACCCATTTAATGGTGTCTACAGAAAAGTTAAATGTATTTAATTTAGATCAGAGAATTCCATGATTAATGTTGTCAAAAGCTTCTTTTTTTTTAATCTAGAAAGACAGCACCGACAACCCCTCCTCGATCCAACCGCAACCATGGTTCCCTGAGAAGGGAACAAGACACTGAGTCCTCTAGTGGTCATTATGGGGAACGACAATAACATTGGCCGGCGAC